TCCTTTTCAGACTAATAATCTGTTCCAAGAAAAACTACTTCTGTTAGAACATGATTTTCAGGAGTAATATTCTCAACAATTTCTCTCCCTCACTTCTGCTACTTTTACAGTAGCATTAACTATCCCCAGTTGAAGCCTATAATACTTCAGCAGCTGCTCACTTTGAAATGACAAGAAGCCCTACAGACTTGCTATGGCATAAACATGTTTAAAGACTTTTTATTTATAGAAAAGACTGAAAGACCTCTTTTTGTCTCATTCTTCTCAAGTAGTGCTAGCCAAAAACATTTCAGTGCAATGTTTTTCAGTCAGAATACCCTATTCCAAGGAAATTACACCATTTAGTGGAACCGTGTTCGTTAGTGTCAAACTCATGTGAGAAATCAGCAATGATCACAATACACACAGAGTATTGTCCAGACAACTGCTTGCATCAAACTGTCAGCCATCTGACATAACTGCAAAAAACTGGGCAAGACCATGCATCTAGATAAAGCACTATTACATCTGACAGCCATGGTGCTAGGTTATTGACTGCCAGGTAACTATGCTGTCTGGGTAAAGTTCATGCTAGTGTCCTCAAGACAGAAAGAAAGAGATGGGAAGGAAACAGGAGCCAGCAACAGAACTCTATGAAGTGACAGTCATTGTATTAAAAGCCAAGAAGTGGACGATTCAAGCCATAATCAGCCATATTTGGATGCTTGGATATGAACTAAATGTATAGGTTTCCACTGTAGTCAGTGGAGATGTAAGTCTCCATACTTTTGCACCCATATGGGTGGCTACTGCAATCTGAGATGCTCCAGGGTATTCAAGACATCCACAGATATCTGCTAAATTTGATACAGGATCAACAGGTGACCTGCACCCTCGTGGAGCAGCAACTTGAGGCCATGCAGTTGCTACAAGCAGGCATCACTGTCAATACAGTTTTCAGTTGATAAAGGGCAGTGGAGTCCACATAACTTGGCATTTAATCAAACACATGTATCTGCTTCAAGGTAAGCTGAATAACTCTACTTCTTCCAGCTGATAACTGATGATACTTACTCCAGACAGTCCATTCCAGACAGATGCTGGTTTTTGCACTCCCTGGCCAGAGTTTCTTGACCCAGCTGCATTGAGCCCCTGTTCACTTATCACTCACGAAGAACAAGCTGTGACCATTGGCTCCTTAGCCCCACTCAGCTTTCCAAGCCCAGGTCTTAGTGACTCTTCAGGTGGGAACTAAGTGCCACCAGGGCTTTGCAGGCTTCTGCTGCCAATCCCCTGGGCAACAGTGGATTGAGTAAAATCATTGTATGTACCACACAGGTTTGCCTGAACTACAGTGTACCACCACCTGGATCAGGAGTCCCCCAGTTTCTATCTAGTAGATCTGTCAGAAAAATGCTGCTATTGCTTTCAGGACTTCCAGACATGCAGTGGAAAAAAGCATCATTACAGACTCATGTGAAAGCCTCCAAGAAGAGACTTGCATGGCCAAATCTTTTCCAAGGTCATTTACAGTAGCAACGAGATGGCTGAGCTACAAAGACATAAGTGGACATGAGAAAATATAAAGCCAAAACCTAACTAAAGTACTAGCATAGTTTTACACGAGCGTAAAATCACTGTGAAAGATTTCCATGTTTACATAACAGTCCAAGCAGCATGTACTGAATTGAATCCATTAGGGATGGGGAAAAAAGTTTACCCTGCCTTTATGAATTATGAATTTTGCCTGGGACAGAAGGTTACCCAGTGAAGAAAGGGAAGCAGGAGAAACATGCACTTCACTGGCTGGGAAAGGAGTAGGGAGAGCTGTTTGCAGCACTGATACTGCTTCCTGGCCTCCCCATTCCACTGGTCTTTTCTCATCCCCCAACATAGTTTTCAGACCTTTGATGTATATTCTTCAGCTTGAGAAAATATTAAAAATTCTTGCCCTTAATTTTAAGCAAGTTAGATTTGGAGAAGTGTCACTGGGAAAGATGTTACAAGTTAGTAAGTCTCATCATGATTTGACCAAAATGTAGCCACATTTGAGACCTTTGGACTGAAAATCTACTAGGGAAAAACTAGCAGGTCTTAAAATTAAAGCATGCTCCTCTCTCTTCAGAATGGAAAACTTCAGTGGGGAGAGAAGCCTCCAATATTATCTAAACCAGGGTATAGAAGAGCCAAAGGAGGACTGTTTAAGAAAGGATATAAAGACACAAAGACAAGCCAGAAAATATAGGAAAACTCTTTCCAGGCAACACAGATTTAAAGTTGACTAAACAAACTAACGTTTGGACCTGTGAAAGAACAGGAGCTCTCCTTGGTTTCACATTGACACCAAGAAAGACACTATGAGCCTGTCATAACACAGGAAAATCCTGCAGACCACTGGTACATCCCTTCTTATAGATGCTAAATGACTCCAAAATCAAGGGGAAAGTGTCACAAATAGTAGGAAACGGACTGACAGTCTGGTGAAAATTATTTGTTGTGTTTTTCAGACTTTTACTGTTCTGAAGTGAGTGGAGTTCCTAATTTGGTGGCACACTTATTTATGAAGAAAGCAAAATAAATACCTTTAAGTGAAGAGAGAATTCCTGAGAGTAAGAGGTAGGAGACATTACAAGAAGTATGACACTGCACCATGAAAGATATCTTGAAGATCTTTGCAATTAAAAATCTCTTAGAATAGGTCTGTGTCTTCCAGTTGAGTCCACATATAATGCAAATGGAACAGGTTTAGCTTTCCAAGAGGAACTCTCAGTCTGACATAATTACAATCCAGCATGTGTCTACTGCCAACATCTGAGGCAATGCCAGAGTTACCTCAGCGACAGGCAAACAAGCCTTCTGGTTTGGAAGAAGTCTAGCAATGGTGGGGTACAGTATAATTAAAACTAGAAACAACAACAAATACAATTCTGGTAAGTAAAGACCACCTCTTCTCTGTGCATGTTACATTAGACTGCCCGCGGTGGTAAGGCTTCCTTCCTATGAAAGTAACTCAGTCCTCCTTTCCTCAGTCACAGCAGAATGCTGCTCCCATCTGCACAGAGCAGTTTATGATGCTTGGACAGTTTGTACCCTTGTGAGGTCTGCTGCATTTTATACAAATTAAGCATTGTCCTTGGTACCCTGGAACAGGATGGACCTCTTTTCCTGTCTTGTTTCATTAGTAGAGAAAGCACTAAGCATGTAATTGTCACCTCTAGGAAGGGCAAATCGTTTAAGAGATGAGCTTCTGCAAAATTTAGCAAAGCCGGAAGGAAACTAAAACTGTAAACATTCTTGCAAGCTCAGTATTAAAAAACAACAAAACACAAACAAACCGCATACAAATAAAACCCTCAAACCAACCAAACCAACCAAATCAAACCCCTCGAATCAACCACACAACAAATGAAGTACACACACACAAAAAATCCAGCAACAAAAATACAGTAGTTATGGTTGGCTCGATAACCCAACGGCTCCCTCTGCAGGGTGACGCACCTTATTTGTCTCACTATGTAATTGTAGCACACGCCAAACTCTTTCAAATGGAAGTTGACATATTCTTAGGACCAACAGATCCCTTATGTTTACATATAACCGTGTATTATGTGCAAAATAAATGATTGGGTATATTAGATTTAAAGTACATGCTAATGCTGTCTCACTTCACAATTTCTGTAGATAGTAATTCAGTCCTTTTCCCCACTGCCAAGTTAATGGTAACTTCACAAACCTTGAAATAAGGTATAGATCTCAAGTATGGTGTGCTTCCCTCTTTACTCACCAAAATCCACACATCTGAGCCTTTCTCTTAGAAAGGAACACAATCTTGGTGAAAGAATGTTATAACTGGTTGAAAAACAGAAAAAAAAATGGAAGGGCCTTCACTCAGAAAAAGCAATGCTTTGTTAGTCTAAAAATTCAAAGGATAATAAATGCATAGATAAAGAAAGACATGGTTAACAAATTTTCTATATTTGACCTTTCAGACATAATTTCTGTTGCCGTTCATTATCTTTCTGACAAAGATGCATTATTATGCCTCTTTGTAGTTTTTCAAGGACCAGTTATTAGGAGATGATGTTGAAAAGGTAAAAGCTTAGGAGGTACTGCTCCTGAAAACATTCTGTCTGCTTCAGGCAGCAGCACATCCATTTCTAATCACTGATGCCTTATTTCACCTTGGACATTGGCAGCATATGATCTCCCAAATTTATTTTAAAAGCTCAGTGTCTTTTACAACAATACCCTGATCTGGATGTATAAAACTTAGTTAGAGAAAACTCAAAGTAAATATGGTTATTATTCTATCACACATTATTGCATCAAGAGGTACCAACAAGCTATTTCAATACACTTATCAAAACAAATGCTCCCCTCCACTGTCAGAACATTTCATGGCAATTCTCTGGAAACCAGACATGCTATTAACTTTAATAGAAGTAGCTTCAGGGCAGGAAAGAGAAATCTACAGCTAAGCTTCCACTTAAAATTTTAAATACATCTAATATTCATGAATTGGACTATTTTGTGTAGCTGTAAGTAGCTATGTTACTTGAACTATTTATTTACTGAGCATCTCTTGACACTGTTTATACTCTTAAACATCATGTGTACTAGTCATATGTCTGCCATCATTGCCTCACACTAGAAGGCATTTTTCTAGTATTTTTGAAAAGAAAAGAATGCCTTCCTACACCTACAAGTTCCCCCCCCCCCCCCCCCCCCCCAAATATCCCCTCATTTGGAAGCTTTCAGGCAACTGAAAACCATGCATAGTTCTGTGATTTGTAAAATTTCATTGTCTTCTAATGGGTTCAGAGAAAACACTTATTTTGCAACTATATCTACAAAGCTATGAGTCATTATTAATAGAAGCCCTCATGTGAAATGGAAGTGTAGTCTGGTATTGTGTGATGCACATAGATGCTGTACTAATACTCTCTAACCAAAAGATGTTTTAAGCTCAGTGATGAGAGTTCAAAAGTGGGCAAAAATGCTCTTCTGTATTTTACCTCTAGGAGGATAATCAGAATTCATGTTCAACAGCCCATCAAGCATGCTTTAAGCTCTCCTCAGACCCAACTGCCAAACATGTTACTGAAAGAGTGCCAAAATAAAGATGTATTTGGCATAAGGAAAGAAAATACTGCCCAGTTGTGTAAGTACCTCTTTCTGAAGGCTGCAGCATGCCTTAGAAAAGACTAATTGCAGATGGAATTTGCACAGGCACTGTTCAAGGTATAAGCCATGGCCCATGCCATCTATTCAATACACACCTCACACCAGCACAGCAAATGAAAGACACAGTATATTGAGGGTGTATTGATGCAAGTCAATTCCCTAAACCATGAAGACAATTGGATAGGTGAAGATAAGAGTATTTTCCAATTGCTGCCTGAGATCCATCCATCACAGGAACAAAATCCCACTTTAGCTACACCTGGAAACTTAATATAAATAAAGAAGTGCCAGTAGGTAACCAGGAAGTTAGTATGTAAGGTTTAATAATTCTACACTGTATCCTGGCCTCAGTCTCAATCATCTATCCATAAAGATAGACTGGTTAAAACTAGCATGGCTAACCAGCACGCATACACTTTATTCTCCCTCAGAGCAGACCTCAGGCTGCCTTGACAAGTAACAGATGGGATTTTACCTTCACTTGGACAAAGTTTCAGCAAGGCAAAAAACTGATTTAGAAGCACTTTAATATGCTGCTCCAGCACCATGCCTGCACAATCTATATAACCAGCCTCCTATCTGACTGCACTCTCCAGAACGAGCAAAGACATAAGCTCCTCAAATTATCACTGTGACAGGCCAGATTTCCTATTACTTACAGATATCTATTTCACCTAATTTTTCAAAGACAGAAGCATACTCAGTATAAACTAAATATAATAGACATGAAATAGTGACTCTTCCCGTATGCAGGGGACATGTGTAATGAAAACAGGGGTTTAGGAGGCCAGGCTCGTTCTCCTGTCAACAGGCACTGGCCTGAGCAAGCCACAAGAGGGAGCGCAAACGCTGTTTGAAAATGCAGCAAAGGGGAGGCAGAAGAGCCAGCTCCAGGCTGCGTTTGATGCCAAGTCTGTTGCTAATAACCTGCATTCTAATTTGTACTGAAAATCAATTTAATTTCCTCTCCAGCTTTAATGCGTTACAAGTAATTCTTCAATACTAATCTGGTAAGGAGAGCGAGAAAGAGAAAAACTCATTCATAATGTTTGGCTTGCACTGGATAAATGAGAAGCCAAGCCAGGTCAGAGCAGCAGGCAAAGTGGCCTTGGGTGTCAGACAAGTGGGACAAGGCGGAACCGCTTGCCTGCAGCAAAAGAAAGGGAGATCAGCTGTGCTCTTCTCTCTCCTGCTTTTCATCCTGCTCTAGCTGCCACAGAGGGAGGGACTTGAGCATGTGCAAGTAGCAGTCCAACTCAAAAGGGGCACCTACTGCCAACCTTTAACAGCAGCAGGAGCTGGCATCCCCACCCTCTGGGACTGTTCCAGCCTCACCGCCCTCCTCCTCTTTTTTCCTTTGTGATAGACAAAAAAATAAGGCTCCTTAACTGCGGTGAAATAGGCTGTCAAAAGAAATAAAATACCTGACAAGAGATATTTTAAACCTGGGATGTTTATATGTGGGTCAAATATGAGATTGTGAAATCTTCTACCATCATAGTCAGATTTTTCTCATCTCTTACCTCTGAGTATTATTCAGTGAAATTCCATTCTGGAGCGGAAGGTTGTTGATATAAGCCAAGGATAAATGTAGTCATAAAGGCTGTTCTTTCTGGATGGCTTAGCACAATATAGTGCTCAAATATCCATTTCACTTAGCTGTTGCAGTATTCTAGCACGAAATAGCAGCAGGATACCACTATTACGTAAAGGACAGGAGCACAAAGGATAATGCATGTGAATACTGATCTGCTGACTGATGTAATCATTGTGATAAAAGATAATGTGTAAGTAGTTTAAGACTTGACTCTTGTATAAAGTCAGATACATGGAGCATAAAACTAGATGCTTCTGGAAGCTGAAAAAGGAGGAAGGTCACAAGGCTGTGGAGCAGATCTAAACTCACATCACACAGTTCCTTGCCTCCATAAGACCCAGGTCAGCAGCAAATGGATAGCAGCAGTCAGTGGATACAGCTTCAGGATTCATGGCTGCCCCATAACACAGGATGAGAAGGGATCCTTCCTCAGCATGAAAGGGATGTGGAAATGCCTCACAACAGAGTCTGGGACCAGCAGCTGCTGGGCAGCAAGTTAACCAAGGTTCCTGCATTTGCAGGTTACAAATAACATCCTAGCTAAATCATCATATGTATTTTTCCAGTAATGCATGAAATCAAGAAACATCATTAAGAGAAATTAATTGGCTCTGAGGCTGTCATGGTACTCACCACACCTGCCACTTCCCTTTGATGACAGGATCATGAAAGTTCTTACCAACTAGTTTATTTAAAATCTTCATAAATAATGTGTCCTTTTGCCCTTTGCACTTTCTCCCTCTCTTTCTTAGTTTGCATTTCTGTTACTTTAGGAACAGCTAATGGTCCAAATGTTAATGCTAACCATCTTCCTCTTCCATTCCCTGTAACGGGAGAGAAAGGTCCCACGAGTCCTTGCTAAACTAGCCAGTTGTGACATCCCTAGAATAGAACAAAGACTGACTTGAATTTTTTAAGAGAGATTTAAAAAAATCTGTAAATAACCTGGTGATATTAAAAGCCTCACTGCTACAGTGCTTAAGTTCTGTGTCAGGGTGTGAATTTTGCATCAGTGCTGCAGCCACCCACAGAAAATAGTTAAGCTTAAGACGAGCAAACAGGACTGCAGCATGCTAACTTCACATGGGTACATTTACAAAGCTAGTGAAGCTTTACGGGCTATAACAAGTTATCATAAATGTTTCACAAGATTTATCGTTTTAGGCCACCAAGTTATGTAAAGTAGCCAAGATAACAATTTTACAACAATATTTAGTGTTTAGTTTTCATATATTACATAATTGTTAGTGTGCTATGTATTTTAATAATCGTTGCACATCAATCATTAAAAATCATATATTGTTGTTAATTACTCAAATTTGACCTTCATAAATCTTGGGTATTTTTAGTTTATAGACACTATACTCGTTCCTTGTTCTTTACAAAGGTCAGCTGGAATCCTGAAATGCTATTATTTTCTCAGGAGATAATGCCATTTCAATAATTCAAGCAGTACCTAACAAGTAACGATACCAAACCATCTCCCTCTTGGTGGGGGAAAAAGTACTTCACCGAGAACACATTGATATAAATAAAGTACATTTAATCACTCACTGAAGACTCATTATACAGAAATCATTAAAATACCAAACATTTTGTTAAAAGGATGGAATAATGACATGGAATGCTAATGTACATCTTTCTCCATTTGTAAATATGAATGTGCATAGATGTAGTGATCACTGACTGAAAACGTAGTTCTTGAAATTGCAATGAACATGCTTCAGTAAGAGCAGATATCTGACATGGTTAAGACAACTTTCTGCGCATTTAAAATAACATATTTTAAAAACTAAATAAATTAAAAATAACAAATATGAAAGAAACAAAGACGAGTATATCACCATCTGTTTTCTCTCAGATTATACGATTTAATCCAGAAACCAAAGTGGACTCCAGATGCACTTTTAAACACAACACAGAGCCTGTTTACCAGTGCTAAAGCTCTGGAGGGGTGCATGTATAACAAATTTACCTCTTCAAAAGCACAGGTACAGCACCATGTCACTTGTTCTGAGCTGAAGTCACTCCCTACTCCCAGGAACACTAGCTGAAAGCTTCTACGTTTAGACCCTGATTTTTTGTATTTATTTTTTTAAGCTTCATTCTTGACTAGAGGACTAAGCTACAGTGCCAACAGTAATTGTGCACATTCCCTCTGAACCTCTCAGAAGATTTGTCCCCAGAGGAAACAAGAAATTTCTTACTTTTCTCACAGCTTTCACAGAGATCGAAAAGCTGCATGTTGCAGATCCATACTGCCTGTTATCAGACTGAGGCAGAGAAATTACACTGGTGCAATGGATGCGGTGGAGAACCAACTGCCATAATTAAAAATTAGTTCTCTTACTCACCCCATGCTGACAGGAAGCCACGTCTGGGACAGAATCCTGTCACCATTTTGTACCAACAATATTTTAAAATGTGTAAAAAAAAGGACAAAATTCTCTATCTGTTCTGTTCACTGAGCTCAAAGAAAATCATTACTTACACTACAACTAGATCTCTCATCACTCACATTACAACTACAATTAGAGAAGAGCAAGGTAACTTTTGCCTAACAGTTACTTTCACCAGAATGCCAGAGCAGGTTCAGGATTAATACAGGATGATGTTCCTGGTCCTGTTCTGTTCATGTACAGAATAAATGGATGTAAGATACAGATGCATAAAGCACATAATAGTAATAACTGAAAAACAAAAACAAAAACAAAAAACAAAACCCAAACCAAGTCTCCCTTTTCACTGACCTTTTTTCATTGATGCTTTGATTGGCAGGATTTTCTTCACTATGTATCTCATGGGTCCTACCAGATAGCACCAAGAGAATGGCTTGCTGGGCACAGAGGACAGCTTTCTCAGGCCTTTTGGTTTAACTGTAGTCCCAGTCATTGATGACATCACTTTTCTCACCCCCTACACTGCAAAGCACCAATTCAGACCAACTGAACTGTAGGAAACCTCAAACATTCTTCCTCCTTCTTCCCTTATAACACCATACTAAAGGAACCTTGGGAAGCCTCTAGTATGACTTGTTCCATTGTTTGGCTATTCTTGGGTGAAAAACCTTTTCCTTATTACTCACCCAAATCTCTTATTTCAGTTCATGCTCATTGTCTGTGATACTTCCACTATGAATTGCCCTGAAGAGCCTTGCTCCATCTTGTTGAAAACCTCCCCATCTCTATTGGAAGGCTGATATTAGGTTCCTGTGAGGATGCTCCATCTCCACGCTGGTAAAGAGGAGTACCCCCAGCCTCTCCTCACAAGGCAAGGTACTACAACCCCTGACAATCTTCGGGGACTCCACTGAACTCACCCCAGTTTACAGATATCTGTCTTGCTTTGGGGTCCCAAAAGTCGATGCAGTAATGTAGATATGGTCCACTGAAGACTGAATCAAGGACATAATTACTTCAGACTACTGGCTCCAATACTGTCAGTACAGCCTAAGGTGCTGCTACCCTTCCTTGCTACCAGGGCACACTGCAGGCTCACGTCCTCGTGTAACAGGACTCCACATCCTTTTCCACAGAGCTGCATCCCAGGCAGCCAGGGCTTGGCCTGCTGTGCTACAGAATTGTTCTTCCTTCCCAAGCGCAGGACTCTGCACTTGCCCTTGCTGAACTTTGTAACATTTCTGTCTGTGCATTCCTCCAGCCTGACCAAGATCTCCTGAATAGAAGTCCTACAATATGCTTTAAGAAAATGAATAGTAAAGACATCCATCAGCAATTTTGGCACAGATGAAGAGATTTCAGTACTGTGATCAAAACTGAATTGCCTGCAGAGCCTTAGATGCAGAATCCCTTCAGTATTTCACAGCTTAAGAATGAGGTTTCCCTTGGCAGTCCACAGGCATTGCCACTAAAACTGGTTTCCAACCTAAACAGTCTACTGGCTGAAGTCCATCTCATTCTCACATCTCTTTAACTCATCCCTATAGTGGCTTTACTTGAATGACATTTACTTTTGTCTCATCATGTTTGCTGTTGTCATCTATTTGCCGAGTTTCATCACTGGTGATGATAAAAATTATAGAGGAAGAGCTGAAAGTCACTTTCTTCTTTGGCCTGTCTCCTGCTTTCTGAGACATAACTATCGGCCGTACTGGTTTATCATTCCCTGTCACTGGCGTCTCTTTCATGGTCCTCGGGAATCTCATCAGGCGGAAGCACAGGAGTTGTAAGAGGCACCGTCTAAACTGCAAGAGAGAATATATAGAATGAAGTTACAACTTCCTAAGTGTTCACTTCCTAAGTGTTCACTATCACATATGATCTAGTGATGACAGCAGTACAGTAAATGACTCAAAATAACAGACTTCTGTAACAAATATGGTGGCTTTTTAGTGGGTATCTTTAGGATCACCTAGCCAGTAGGGAGCACTGAAGTGCAACTGAATATTTCACCAGCAGCAAGATCTGCAAAGAACACAGGGTCTAGGCTCCACAGCCTAGGGGGTATAGGCATTGTTCCTGTATTCAAAGGTCACACATTTGATCTAGCAGGGGAAGATATTCTCATAAACACTTCACAGAAGGATGCAGAGGGAAGAAACAAGGGGAGGAAGGGGACAGAAAGTGTTTTCTTCCTTTTAATTCCAGAGTCTGGAATGTTAAGAAAAGCACTGAAGGACACAGACATAAAATGAAATTGCCATGGCTGGTAACACAGAACTAAAGTGTTCCCACTGAATATGGAGGAGAATAGAAGTCTTTCAGCTAACTAGAAACCACTTATGATACAGGAAGTTTGTTCGACCTTGTGTCTAAATTAATGCAAAGTATTTATTGAAAGCTCATATCAGGAGAAAGAATGATAATTCCAGCAGTAGCACTGTTTCACATGCTCCAATTATGGTCACCCTTCACAAAGCAAAGATTCAGGTATGGGGGTTAAAAGATACACTCACTCAGCAGTTCCACATCTTCACACATCTAAAGCTCAAATATGATCCTTTGGGGAAATTCTCTGGTTTTGCAAGGAAAAAAAACACACAGCAACAAAGAGGGCAGGGAAAGAAACAATCCACCTTTTCCCTGAAAAGGAAGGAGGACATTTTTCTTAACAGTCTTCTATTTAGCTGTGTAAAAAATCATTCTGTATTATCCTGCATGGGTATTTGTTTTTCCAACTATTATGCAAGAAACTCTCCAACATGCCAGTTTGGAACAAGGTTTTCTCATAGGAAATTAATGCTATTCTGACACAGGTGAGGCAATAGGTCCTTTTGGGAAGGGGATCTATAAAGTTACAAGGTGATAGAGAAGGACAATCTGGTGCAAGAGAATGGTCATGTGGAAGCCTTTAAGGTTTTGGAGATGATGTCTTACCTCAGAGTAGCAGAGAAGTGAGAAAGCACAAGCATGTTAGAACAGTCAAATAGAGGAAGGATATTCTAGAGAAGAACTGGTTTTAGAATTCCTTTTAAAAGCAAAACATCCCAGAAGATGAGTGAAAATATCATTTTGGTCTTAATCTGGAATTAGAAGTGAGTGAGAAGTACTTCACATTGTATCTCCAATCAGTGTGTTCAGCCGATTCGTTCTTATCCTGGCTATGACTTCACTGGCATTTTTCCTGGTCCCAGTTTGATTTGCTTCTAGATATCAGAACCTACACAATCTTTTTCAGATAAATTACTCAGCCTGATATCTGGGTACAGAGTCAGTGTCACGGTATTAAAAAAAAATCAAAATCCCTCTGTTGAAAAATACTCCTTTTTGAACATGACTATTATTAGCTCCCAATATCCGTGTCAGCTCTGACACCGTGCAGCTGTGTAAACTTGCATCAGCTTGTTATGAAATGAGCTGGGGGAGGCGGGGAGCTGCAAGACAGCATGTTGGGGGCTTCCTGCCTTCACTCAGAAACAGCACCACCTTTGCCCTCAGTCCTGGCCTGAGCTGCACTACGGCCTTTGCCTGGCTGCCCACTTGGCGGATGAGACCCAGTGACTTGGCTGCCTTGTCCCCACTGGCTGCTGGCTGGCCCAGGCTGCTGCATGGCAATTGCAAACCAGGTAGGAAATCTCAGACAGTTCCATCTCTATAATGAGCCAAAAGACAATGAAATCCCAAGGAAACCCTTCTAGCAATCATTCATGGTTTTATACCCTTTCTCAAGTGATTCTATAAAAATCCAGATATCTTTAACTCTATACAATTTTGGTTTCAGAAGTTTACAATGTGCATTACACTTCCAGTTAGTGTTCTGGGTTACGGTGAAGCTATCTTTATGTCTAAATAAATTCACCAACATTCAGTGGTTATAACTTGATGACTTAGAAAAAGATGTGTAGTTCCCTAGTTTCCATATATTTGGCATGCCACTGATAACTCCAAATACTTCCATTGTCTCTCTGCTCTGTAAAGCACTGAAATGAGCTATTACCACCATTATATCAGCAGTCTACTTTTCATAATGAAGAACACAAAAGCAGACAAAAATATAAATTTGTTTCTCATGGAAAAGTATGTCTTCTTAACAGCATGTTAATGCTTTTGTCCCCAGAAAACATTTCACTGTCATCCACATGAGACTCTGGCTATGAATGCAGGAACTGCAAGCTGTCCTGTTTCCCCTATGTGGATAATTAAAGAAGAAGAATTGCTGATAGCGCACCTGGGTCTTGAGCAAGCCAGGGAGTATTTGTGTGCATGGGTGCAAGCCCAGGCTGGGAAACAGCCTGGGGAGTGACTGTTTGTAAAATGGAATTTATAGTGGCTGAAGACAGTCACTGTGATTGATGTGGTTTCTGTTTGGCTTCACAGCTCAGGCCCGTATCTGTATGCTATATATTACCATGCTGGAGTGAATAAAGTAGAACTAGTTGTGGAAGCATGGTGTGTGTGTGCGGGCGTGCGTTTAGCCTCTTTCTTTACAAACACTGCAAATGGTGCCCCATGTGAGGCACTAAACTGCTTGACACTGCAGTGTCCATGCAACCCGACAGGGAATTCCTGGTACCGCCATTTCCCTGTTACAGGTCAGTATCACCCATTGTACAGGGAATCATGGCATTGCATTAGAAAAATGGGACAAGTAGAATCAGCCAAACAGAAACTGTATTTGAAAGTTTTACAGCAAATTTTAAAATCCTCTGGATATCATTTGTCTGAGAGAGAAGCAATGAAACTTTTGTTATGGGTCAAACCAAATTGCAACTGGTTTCCAGCAACAGGGTCATCTTATACTCAGATATGGGAGAGAGTGGGAGAACATTTACAAACTCAAAATCACCTTGGTATGGAGGTTCCTGTTGATTTAATAGTGACATGGCGTTTTGTCTATTCTGCATTATCTAATTTGCAACCTGCTGACGATATAATTCAGAAACCTGATAAAACAAATTACCAAAATACCAACAATTTGAAAGAGCAAGGACAGAAGGATGAAAATATCTTTTCTGAGAAGCCGGATAATCCTTTTACTTCTGGCCCCATAGATTCAGAAAAGGAGCCAAATTTACATCCGCCTCTGATGCCATTAAAGGTATTCACATCAAATATTCCTCATTTGGGGATAGAGGATGGTGATCTTATTGGAGACATTGCTTTCACTTTACCTGTATTTTATAGAACAGATGGGCAGGGACAACAACAACCAGTACATGAAAGTATTCCGTACACAGTATTTAAGGAATTGAAAAAATCAGTGATGGAAAATGGAATTCAAAGTCCTTATACATTAGGTCTGCTAGAAATGATGGCTAGTTCAGGATCTATGGTACCATGGGATTGGCACACTTTAATGCAAACAATTTTGACACCTGATCAATACTCGTCTGGAGATCGGAATATAGTGACTTAGTGGCTTTACAGATATTAGATAATGCTCAAAGAGGAACACCAATAGATGCTGATATGTTAACAGGCAATGGTTGCACCCTTATCATCAAATCCAGCAAGCTGCTCATATGGCTGTACAAGCCTGGAGGTGAGTACGTGAATCAAGAAAGAAAACTACTTCTTTCGCAACTGTTCACCAAGGGTTTCGGGAACCCTATTTGTCTTTTATAGACTGATTAAGCAATGCTATACAAAGGCAGATTGATAATCCTGAGGGTGCTGGTGTGCTTTTATTTCAGCTAGCATATGAAAATGCAAAGGGAGATTGCAAAGCTGCTTTAGCCCCAGTCAGGGAAAAGTTTACAGACATCGCCGAGTTTATTAAAACATGTCAGGATATAGGTATGGAGGCTCATAAGGCTTCTGCATTGGCTGCTGCATTATCAAAACTCAACATGTGTCAGCAAAAATGTTTTAACTGTGGACAGGAAGACATGTTAGTAAAATGTGTCCCCAAAAGAAACAAAAGCAGAAAGAAAAAACACCATCTCAACTCTGTCCCAGATGCAAGAAAGGATATCACTGGAGCAATCAGTGTAAATCTAAATTTGATAAGGATGGAAATCCTTTGTTGGGAAACTCCAAGAGGGGTGCGGCAAAACCTAATACCCCTCAAAACAACAGGGGTTTTCCAGCAAATGCTCCATCTCCTATGTCGCAGCTACCAGAACAGGCAGCATCTGCTTGGATGTGGCAACAAGCACCAACACCCAATTAGATTGTGCCACTGTTAAAGCTATAGCTACCAATGTTTGGGGACCTTTACCAAAGGGGTTTATGGATCTTTTGTTACTACACTCAAGTACAACTCTCCAAGGAATAAACATTCATCCAGGAGTAACAGATTCAGATTATACTGGAGAAACGAAAATTTTAGCATCTTCCTTAAATGGCAGTTGTAAAATTCCAAAAGGTCAAAAACTAGCACAACTTGTTTTGATTCCATATTGGGTGCCAAAAGTAGAAATTAACACAAGGAATACCTCTGGATTTGGAAGCTGTGGAAAAGCTGAGGTTTATTAGACCCAGGACATTAATCAGAAACAACATTTATTGAATTTGCAAATAGAGAATAGAGACTTTAGTGGATTACTAGATGATGGGGCAGATGTTTTGATTATTTCACAATCTCAATGGCTGACTGATTGGCCCTTTGAAAAGACTTTAGCAACAGTAGCCAGAATAGGAGGTATGCAGTCTCCTTTTAAAAGTAGTCGAGTCCTCAAAGCTATTGCACCGGACGGTGCTGTAGCTGATTTTCAACCATGTATACTCCCAGTTTCTATGAATCTGTGGGGTGAGATTTGCAAATGCAATGGAATTTGTTGCTTACCAGAGATGGGGCAAATTT